TATTAATTATTAATATATTAATATTATTTGTCCAAACCTAATTACGAAGCATGATTTTTCGCCAAGTAGGATTCCGAAGCACCATAAGCAGCCACGTAGGCTCAGCGCATTTGGAAATTATATATAAGAGGGATAGGGGGATTAATAATTTAGGTTGAAACATTCCATAAATATTATTTAGCTAACTTAGGTATTTTAATATCATTTGTACTAATATAACCTTTTAATTCTTTGTAATTTTACATAGTGAGACACTAAGTGACTACTATATCCTTGACTTTTGATTTACTTCCTACAATTAACTATTGAATTGTAAATGTATTTTAAAAGTTGATAACTTTTGTATTTATTATCGGTTTTACATATATAATATATCAAATTAATCATCTTTTGATGATCTTCGATTTGACATCCATATTGTATAGATGATATAAATAATTTATATTTATTTTTATAACAATATAAAATAATAATATTTACTAAAATTCATTAGAAAAATAAAATTATTTTTCAATTGATATATTTATCTTTAATGTAGTTATATGTAGTAGGTTAAAAGAATTATTATAATATAACACAAGTAAGTCACAAATAAAAAATGTCATACTAAATATAGAATAATATATATTTTTATAAAAGGTATTTAAATTTTCAACTACTTTTTTTAATTAATTTTAAATTTTAGGAAAAAAAATTAATAAGCACCCGTGTTCACAGGGCGTTGTACTAGTTTATTATATTCCATAATATATTATCAACTTATAGCGAACAATTATGGACTTTTTTACGTGAAAAAAATAAAAATACAAGTGCTGGACAAAAAAAACAAAACAGAAAAGAGGAGGTGGACAAGAATCAAAAGTACGTATTTATAAAATACGTTTTACAAAAAAATATTGAAAAACGTATTTTGTAAATACGTGTTTTTACAAAATACGTTTTACAAAAAAAAATACGTTTTACAAAATACGTATTTACAAAATACGTATTTACAAAATACGTTTTACAAAAAAATATAGAAAAACGTATTTTGTAAATACGTTTTCTTTTGTAAATTTTTTTTGTAAAACATATTCCCTAAATACGTTTACAATTAAATTGTAAAAAAAAAAAAACGTACTTAGTGAATACTTGTTTTTGATTTTGGTCCACTCCTTTTTTTTTTTGTTTTTTGTCCACTTATTCCCCTATATATTAATACAGAACGCGCTGAGTCTACGTGGCTGTTTCTGGTGCTTCAGAATTCTATGTGCCAAAATTACATGCTTCGTATTAGGCTTGGATAAATTTTAATTTAATTCCAAACCAAAAATAATTAGGTTCGGATTACCATAAATATGTTGATTATTTATGGTAATGTTACATGTATTAATTGTATTTTAATATCATTCTTTATTATAACTATTGAATTGTATATATATTTTAAAAGTTAATAACTTTTGTATTTTTTATCAGTTTTACATATGTAATATATCAATTAATCTTCTTTTGATGAGCTTCGATTTAACATCCATATTGTATGTATAAAAATAATAATTTATATTTATATTTATAACAATAATAAAATTATTTTTAATATTAATTAGAAAAATAAAATTATTTATCAACTAATATATTTATATTTCAAGTAGTTATATGCGGTTTTGCATGATGTCAACAGTTGACTCCATAATTGAGTCAACCTTCTATATACAACAAGCAAACCTACCATATTATCTGATTACTTACATAACACTAAAATAATTTTATTAATATGGTATGGTTTACTTGCGGTATGTAGAAGGTTGGCTCCAATGTGGAGCCAACTATTGACTTTATAGCAAAACCTTAGTTATATGATACAAGTTATAAATTTAATATAATATAACACATCTAAGTCATAAGTAACAATATCATTCTAAAATATATAGTAATATATTTTTTTAACTAAATATAATTTAGTATTCTCATTAATTTTAAAATTTAAGAATAATTTTTTAACAAGCACCCGTATAATACACGGGTGTTGTATTAATTATTTTTTTATTAATAAATATATAAATTACTCAACAGTTATGTGGATGTTGCCAATAACAGAGAACAATCCACGTGGCAACACCTGCAATATTTAAGAAAAAAATAATCCAATCAGAATTCCGAAAAAATCAATACAAAACCTCTCACAGTGTCTCAGATTTCTTTCCAATGGCTCCACACCACACATCCTTCGCCTTATCCTCCACCTGTCTCCTTCTAATGGTGAGCCTCCACCCAAAACCATCTACTTTTCCCTGTACTGTTTGGTTCCTTAGCTGCGTTCGATTCCCAAAATCTCAGCCCCAGCCGCGATCAGACAGTCGTCGCCGCCGCCGCCGCCGCAAATGGCCGCCAAGCTAGGTTTACCGAGATTCTTAACCGTCCAGCTCAGAAAGCCGTTCATGTCCGTCTCTTCTTTACCGTCTTCTGCTCCCGGAGCTCATTCGATCGATTTCGGAGCCGGAAAGTTGTGTTTCGGCGGCAGACGAGTGGTTGTTGTTCCTAAAGCTACCACCGATCAGCCTGGTTAGGTCAATTTTTCTAATTATGTGATTGTTGAATTGTTTTGCAAGTCTCCATTTTATGTTCTTTCTGTGCTTTGTTTCGTAATGTGTGAGCTATTGTAATCAGTTCTACTTTTTTGGAAGTGGAAGACTTAGAATAAATCTCAAAAAACAATTTTAGGTTGAACAAGAAATTAATTCTATAGTTGAAATGTGGGGAATTTGAGTTAATGCAACTAGAAATTGAGTGCAAGAAACTCAAATATTGTAGGATTGACAAAGGTCACGTTTTGACGAATGTTTGGAACAAGCCATAATCATGCAGTATGCATGTTAAGACTATAGAAGTTAAAACTATGTGAGGGTTCATTGGAGACAAGTGTGAAAAAACATAACACGATTTCAAGTCCAAACGAGCGCGTATGAGCTCCTGGTGTGTGCCTAAATCCCCGTTGCGGGCACGACGCTTGGATCTGCCCACCAGTTGGGCGTGACGAGCACGCAACTCGTAGTGAAAAAAGGAACACGATTCCGAGCCCAAACGAGCAAGTATGAGCTTCCGGTGCACAGGCGCGCCCCAAGCCCTGTTGCGGGCGCGCTTGGATCAGCCCACCAGTTGGGCGTGACGAGCACGCGACCCGGACGCACCTGCTAGTGCCGCAAAGGTTCTAACTCAATTTTGGACGATCGGGCACATCTTGGAAGGTGTCTTTTGATGTCTTGAACCCTTGGAGATGTCCAAGAACATCTATATAAACACCCACGAAGAAATCATTCATATCAATAGATTTTTAAGATCTTTGCATCCTTTTACATAGTTCATAAAGCATCTCGTGTTCTAGGTGTTCGTTTCTATCTCGAGACTTCCGGCATCCTTCTACAAAGTTATAAAGCTTCTCGTGTTCTATGTGTTTGTTTCTATCTTGAGAGTTCCGAAACTTGAGTATTGTTTGTTGAAGGTTTGTATATTTGAGTTACGCCTGTGCACAAATCAATAAATTTTAAGATCTTTGCATCCTTTTACATTGTTCATAAAGCATCTTGTATTCTAGGTGTTTGTTTCTATCTCGAGACTTCGGGAATCCTTTTACAAAGTTCATAAAGCTTCTCGTGTTCTATGTGTTCGTTTCTACCTCGAGAGTTTCGAAACTATATTATTGTTTGCTGAAGGTTTGTGTATTTGAGTTACTCCTGCGCACGAATCAAAAGTCATTGTATGTTGAGGGCGTTAACCGTGAACCGTGGAATAAACGAGGTTATTTCGCATTAAAGAGAGCGTGTCTTACGTGCCTCGACTTTGATTTGTTTATAGCATTCCTTCTGATTTCTTAAGCCATTTTCTTGACATTCACAAACACACAAACAAAGTGTTCAACAATCACTTAGTCAGAAAAAGTAATTGATCAATTTCGACCGGCAGACGAGCGGTTGTTCCTTAAGCTACCACTAATCAGCCTGGCTATGTCAATTTTTCTGAATAAAGTGGTTATTAAGTTGGGAATATACTGGGGATGTTGTTGTTGTTGTTGTAAAGTGGTTATTTACTTTTCAAGTTTCCTTTTTTTTTTTTTTTTCTATGTTTCTTAATGTATGAACTAGTTTATGTTATGCTTTATGAAGGCGTTTTGATCTGTCACAAATATCGCATACATAGTTGGTTGGTTACGACTATCGACTGTACTTGTAAAATTCTATCCTATAGCTTTTATGGATTCAGAATTGGACGGTTTTGGTTGCTGCCGTTGTTTCCTGGCTAATGCAGTTATTTGATCTGAAATCATCGTAAATGAATTTATTAGAGCAGACATTAGCGCACAATGTTAACTTTAGTCCTTGTTCGCTGCAGGTCAGGTTCAAGAAGGTGAAGTTGTTGATAGCAATGTCTTGCCTTATTGCAGCGTTGATAGAAAACAGAAAAAGACTATAGGGGAAATGGAACAAGAATTTCTTCAGGCGCTTCAGGTAATAAAATATTATATTTTATCCTTTGGTTTCTTTCTGTCTATCATTTATTTCCATATTTCGAGCTACCACCTTGCATTATCTCATTGATACGAAGATGTTCTTGATGATTGATCTTTTGCAGGCTTTCTATTATGAAGGAAAATCTATCATGTCTAATGAAGAATTTGATAATCTCAAAGAAGAACTCATGTGGGAGGGAAGCAGTGTTGTAATGCTAAGTAATACCATTTTCGATTCATCAAACTCAGCTCTTATGATTAAAATTGCTTTGCATGTGGACAGGACTTTTACGTTAATCGATCAAAGTGCTGTACCTCAAACTTGCATTCCTGCTATGCAGGTGCTGATGAACAGAGATTTCTGGAAGCTTCAATGGCATATGTATCGGGGAACCCACTTATGTCTGATGAAGAATTTGACAAACTAAAACAGAAACTTAAGGTGCTTATCTTGTTGAACTAATCCAGGATTTATAGCATCCTGTCTCTGTAAAAGGATAGTAATTCTAGTGATACATGATTGTCTCAGTAGCTCGATAGAAATGAACATCACTTATCACTGTATTGTCAGTTTGGATCATTCAGGCTGGTGACGGTGTTGGGTTGATACCATTATATCATTTGTATTACAATTTGTTTAGTTTACAGTGTCTATGTTCATTTAATTTCAACCCTATAGTATCTTGTAGATGGATGGGAGTGAAATTGTTGCTGAGGGTCCTCGATGCAGTCTCCGCAGTAGAAAGGTTAGTGATACTTCCTCCTGAAAGCTACAGTAGTTTATTCTGCTATTTTTTCGATAATAATCATAGGGGCACTGGATGACACCTGATTTTGAGTACCTTAGGATCCATTTCAAATGTTTGTTCCTCTCCACCTTCCAAGATCTTGACACCTGATCCATTGTTCAATTGTAGATTGTGGAATAGACTATGTTGGCATGCTTCCAAAATCAATCATTGTATCTTCTTCGGCATACGCATAATTTGAAATAGAGTTGCTTAATTCTATTGTGAGCTTCTTTAAGAACTTAACCATAGGAGCGTATGAATAGACAATTCGTGATGGCCGATTAATTTTATTCCTTTGCATAATTCCTTTGTAATTCACTAGTATAGTTCTCAATTTAATATTTTACTTTAGCTTTTCAGTAAGAGTTGTAGAGAGTGTTGGATTATCAATTAGACTGATTCAGCTCCTTTATTTTTTTTTATTGATTTTTTTTTCTCCAATCTGTAATACTGTGTTAAATTGCAGGTTTACAGTGACCTTAATGTTGACTACCTCAAGATGTTTCTTCTGAATGTTCCAGCTGCAGTTGTTGCATTAGGATTGTAAGTGACTCGGTTTCAGGAGTTGCATGAACAACAAATCATCCCATTTCTTACTGATTACAATTACCCAGTGTTAGCCTAAACGCTAAACGGTAAACAGTCGGCGAGGGCACGTGTAGTGTTTAGACGGTGTACACGGCGTGTACACGGGATTAAACGGATTACACGTTTTTAACTACATTAGTATTAATATTATGACTTATGAGTCAATGACATAGCCATAGCCCATACGCAAATTGCAGATAACATCACAACAGTCAACATCACAGGTGTTCATCTTACAACACAACAGTTAGTAACACACTGCACGCATATATAGTTCTCAAAAAATGGATCAATTTTTTGTTCTCCCGCCCAACCGCTTCTATTTCCAAAACGGACCGTGTAAACGGCCTAAACGGCCGTTTAGGCCGTTTAATACCGTTTAATACCGTCCCGTTTACACATTTTACACGGTTTTTTTCCGTCTACACGGCTAGCTCGTTTAATTACCGTTTATCCGCTAAACTGCACACCATAGCGTCGTTTACCGTTTAAACAGCGTGTAAACGGTCTAAACGGCCGTTTAGGCGAACACTGCAATTACCTCACGAAGTTCTACTCTACTGTCCTCTTTTAGGTTTTTCTTTCTGGATGATTTGACTGGATTCGAAATTACCTATCTCTTAGAGGTAATTGCATATCGTTTTGCGGGATCTCAATAATAATATTCTCGACGTAGTTTCTGAATGCACCGGATAATTTATGCACACCTGAAATCCACTCTTGCAATTTCTCTTAATCCTAACCTACAACTGTTTTTTGTTCAGCTTCCGGAGCCTTTCAGTTTTCTTTTCACTTGGTTTGCAGCATTGCCCCTCATACTATGGTTATCATTCACCATAACAAATACCATTGTGAAAGATTTTCTGATCCTGGTGGTAAGATTTTATTAATTTCATAATTCAAGTCAGGATAAGAAATATTGAGAACCCTTTTTTTTTTTTTTT